ATTTGATATAATTTCTTACTTTTATATAAATTAGTAGTATTATGTTATTTTGTTAATTATGCAGATTTTTGAAATTTCTGGTCAGTCCTGTAGCAGTCCTACAAGATTCTTTTGCTGGAGTGGTGTTGTAGCAGTCCTATAAGAGTGTGCAGTGAGCTGCACCCTTACTTTTGGACCGAAACTTTAGGCTTATGAATTTAGCTGCAGATTTTGGACATAGGTTATGGGCTAGCTTATAGTTTAAGCTTCTCTTTTGTACTAATGACATATCTTCTTTCATAAGTCTTGTCCTTATTATATATAGGAGTTGTTACTAGCTTAAAAACAAAATAATTAACCTTTAGGTTTAATTTAGCTTTCGGCTTTCTTGCTTAACAAGAACCGAAATTGTTGAAGTTAACTTGCTACCTTGTTCTCATTTTTCAAGTTTAACCAGGTTCTAGTATTCCAAACTTCATCTCCTTTTTGTTTACTTTCGATTCTCAAAAGCTTTCTAATTTTCGTTATAAGTTGAAACTAATTGATCATTGTTGTAATACATTGGATTTCATCCTTTGTGGCTCATGACTAATTTCCTTAGCTAAAAATACGTTTCCAAGTGTTTACAAGTATTTTCTCACTTTTAGTGACGAAACTTGTTTTGCAAGTTTCATGACTTGGAGTTCAAATTTCTTTACTTTATTCTTTGCAAGTACTTACTTCTTTTTACTTTATGTCATTTCTTTTAAAATATTTTACATTTCCTTACACTTTACTTTTCTACAATTTAATTTTCAACAGTTAATTTCCAGTATTTTAGTTATTGCAATTTATGTTCCAACAATTTATCTTCTAGTCATTTATATTTCTGCACTTTAATTTATAATTTTTTTACATTCTCGCAATTTACTTTCTGTAATTTACTTTTCCACATCAATTATTTACTTTTCAGTCTTTACATCCTTCGCAAGAAGAAAACGAGCGATAATGGGCTAAACGCCTTAGCTTGGGGTGTAAGGGAAAAATAATACCAAAACCGATGTGAAAGTACATAATTGTCTTATTAGCATTATTGTCTAACTATTTGTTTCAGGTGATTAATATTTCATTGAAGATTACATTGAATTAATTAACAACTAATTTTATGTATGAAAATGCATTAACTTTCAAAGTTAAGATAAATAAGAAAACCTCATGTAATAGAAGAAGACTATAAAGAGCTTTAGTATCTGACAAGTACTATATTCCTACGGTATAGGATGATAACACTGTGTTGTGCTAGGATTCACGACGTCTAACATAAATGATATCGTATCGATAACACGTTGGCCTGCGTGTACTCTTGAGAGGGTGTCTGATTCGATAGTTGATAGTGTGACAATTCTATAACATCATCATGTGGTATTATATAACTGTGACAAGGGTGTTATGCCATCTTTCTACTCTATTTTGTATCTTAATCAACTTTTGCACCTTGTGCTTCGTTTTACGACCGATATTTTCCTTAGTTGCTAATCAAACCACCCAGTTTTAGATAAAACAAATCCCTCAAATTTGCCATCTGAAATTAGTTTTTAAAGACTGGACATTTATAGAATTTTACAAAGCTTTCTCTGTGGGAACGATATCTGGTACTTATACCATTATTATTTGTTACAATACGATATTAGTTCAAGGTGTATATCTGCATTGAGTTATATTTTTGTGTTGAAATCTGAAGTTGCATAAACTGAACAAGCAGTGACATTACTTATTACAAAAGTATACTTTTGATTTTTTTACATATTGTTTAATAAATATATTAAACGGATTAGAAAATTTCTAATTTATTCATTAATATACCAATATTAAAAAGATTAGTAAAACATAACTTATCTTGCTAATATTTTTTGACAAAAAAAAAAGAATAAGAATTGTTATGTTTTTTACTTAAAAAATATTTATCTATTAAAAAATATATCATACTTGTTTAAAAAAAATTACTTGGCATATAAATATATCAAATTAGTTGGATTTATTTTTGAGTTATTCAATAATATAATAATATTAAGAAAACTTGTTGCTAACATTTCTAAAAAAGTTAAAAGATATGCATTTTTTTGAACAAAATAAAATAAGAAGTATTACCTTTTTTCACAAACAAAATAATTATTTTGAAAATAATATATCATATTTATTTAAAAAATATTTTACTCTAATATTTAATTTATATGCAATTTAATAAGGAAAAGTTAAAAAAAATTGAATTGTTTTATTTTAATTGTCGCTAGAAAAAATTAAAATCATTAAAAATAATTTAAATGAAGTTTTCTTTTATTTTGGTCATGTCATCAAAATGATGTGTCATTCACATTATCTTATTTAAGCCAAAGAAGCAACAAAAGTAAAGTTTTAACCGGTTTAAAAAATAATAAATTATCCATAGCTATAACAAGTAGATTTTCTAAAATACGATGCCCTAATAAAAAATAATTTAAAAGTTTATTGCTGTAATAAAAAATGAAAAGTACAATGTTATAATAAGAAATTATATAAAAGTACGTTGTTATTTCATGCATTTAACCTTTAATGTAGAAAACAAAGTAGGATAAGAAAACACAATGAACAATCAACCAAAGAACTACGAGAAACACACCAAGCACAAAAGATTTAGGTGGTTCCACTATCGGTATGGTGATGTACGTCGATAGAGAAGAGGAGAAACTTTTATTAATGAAGAACACCCAAACACCAAAGAAAAATTACAAACCAAAACACTAAATTGTGTATACTCTCTCTCAATATTTTCTCAATTCAAAATAGAGTTTCTAAGATATCAATTTCGTTCTATATCTGATAAAACCCAAGGGGGTATTTATATTAATCCATAAGTGGAATTCCAATTTGATCCCAATGCTAAAAACTAAGAAAGGTATAATTATCGTCGTGCACGATCAAGCCTAATTACAAGGTGTGGTTGTGCCTGAAGACCCAGATGTTTCTGTTCACTAAATAATAGTACGCCCGTCCGTGCTTGATCACAAGGTATGGTCGTGTCAGAACACCAGAAACTTTCTGTTTTGCAAAGTAACATAGGATGCCTGTATAAAAATTCTAGAACTTCTTGTTTTGCATATCTTTGTCTCGTATCATAATTTTCAACAAATTCTTGGTGGATCAAATTCTGATAGAGGCAATCTTCTCATCTCACGTATCATCTGAATTATTAATGATATCTGATTTTGATGTAAACTGTGCCGCCCAAGAGCATCATGTGCGAGCGAGAAGTAAATGAAGTACACAACAGTCTGTTAAGTGGCTAGCTTAAGAGTTCAACCCAAAGAAGTTGCAACTCCCACACAACTATAAGCTTCAAACTCTCACCTATTTGTGAAAGTATACCCACCCAGGACCAACTTTGTTATGCTCCGGAGCCTGGGGTAAATGATATCGTAGTTGAAGTCTTGTACTCCATTGAATCCTATGGAGAAAACAAAACATAACCATGATCTATCTTATCCTATGATATCTAGCAATTATGAGGTTTTTGAACATTTATATTCTAGACAACTTAAAGTAATAGCAGTATCCTGGCAAAGGGTTCAGCCACCTGGGGCACCAAGGCGCTTATGTTTTGCCAGGTTTAAAGTAGGACCATGGCAAATCCCCGGTTCGAGTCCCCTCAAGGCCACCAAAGGTTTGATAGACTGTTAACTTCAGGTTCCATTGGATTATTCAAGGTGTGTGCAAGTTATCCCGGATTCCCACGGTTATAAAAAAAAGTAGGAAATTTTTGTATGTAATACTTCCTTTCCATGACTCAAACTAATCCCATTTTGGACATAAAGGGTCAAATCACATAATTATGCTTCTAATTGAACAATAATATAAATAAAATAAAAAACAAAAAACAAAAAAAGCTACATACCATTTTGACAATTGCAGAGCATTTAGTCCCTGCAACTTTAGCCCAACCAGTAAGGAGGTAGACGTTCTTGCAGAGTGTGTTCCAACTTCTTATTTAGAGTGTGTTCAAACTCCATGAGCCTAACTTCAGGTATTAGTACTGGCATTACAATAACATCGGTTTTACAGGATGCCTTTTACGTCTAATTATCCTAATATACACTTATTAGATAAGCTTATAGGAACCAAAATTGTGTCCTATATAAACATGATACAATAAGTTGACAAGACATTTTTTAGCATTCTAACAAGTTTAGGATAATTTTGAAATAAAGCAGTCATATTCTAACAAGATTTTTATATGACATTATTTGATAAAGTGTCTTATGAAAATATGTGTTCTTAGGACACTTCAAAAAAATGTCCTATAAAAAAGCTAAATGACACTTTATTTCAAAAGTGTCAAAGAGATGTTGTTAAGGTGCCCAAATACGCTAATCATCCTATTGTTAACACCTTTATCAGACACGTAATTATTCGGTTCAAGTCTTATAAAACAGCCTATTTGATATTTAGACATCTTTGACATATAAAAAAAAAAACCGATTTGGTTGTAATGTGGGGTTCCTAGTGGGTATGGGGATTGTAGCCCTTACAAAACTGTTCCAGAGATCCTTCTAACACTCACTTTCCTTGTACTTGAAAAGGCAAGCCTCCAGAGGGCCAAATCTCATGCTAATGGGGGCATCATGGAGTGCAAAAGAATCCTATAAGAATCCTTCATATATGCAAAAAACCACTTCAATTGAAAGCCCCTCTGCTACATTCACTATATGTTAAAACTTAAAATTTTGCGATAATGCCTACCTGTATGCATCTAGATGTGATATTGTGCACAATTTTTGTGCACTTGTATGCGCTAAAGATGGTGTATGTTTGCACAACATTGCTGTGCATGAATGTTGGTGTAATATGTTCAGCGTACCTTATGTCTGGCAATTTCTCATGCAACAAACAAAAAGGGCAAAACCCAAATTCAAACTACCACAGTTTTTGTTTCGGAATAAATGTCTTACTGACCAAACACATAGTTCATTGGAAGTGTTCTATTAGTCAAAGTCTGAAATGCTCATGAATTATGAAACAGTACAGGAAGTTTTGGACTAAAAATCAACGCTAACAAACTGTAATGGTTACTGGTGGCAGCAAAGAAGTAATATAAATTGAAGCTTTACCAAAAAGGAAAATGTTGCTATTCTGGGGGAAGGGGTAAATTTTGTTGTTTTTCTTTTCTTTCTTTGAATAGTCCATGTATCTTCCTTCACTGATTGTGGATTAGCAGAACAAAGATGATTCACAGAAAACTAAAAATAACAATAAAACAACACAAACCCGTTTTACATGTTGATTTTGTCTGCAGGACCCCATTGTTTCCTTTGCTTGTGTAATTTGTTGATGATCCTCCATGTAACTGCATCAGGGGCTACTCCATTCTTCCTCATTTCTCCTACAATCTGGTAGGCTTCTTTCTTTAGATCCAATTTGCAAGCACCTTCGATCAAAATGTTGTAATTGACAATGTTTGGTCTAATCCCACAATCTACCAATTCATATAGAAAATCACAAGCCTCATCAAACTTCTGCAAACAACAAAGTCCTTTGATGATGGCTGAATATACAAAATGGTCATGAACCCCTGATGGCCAAATAACATCATCCCAGAACACCTTTGCTTCTTCTATCCGATTACATTTACATAATCCATCAATCATTATCGCATGTGTGGTACTATCAGCAACCACACCACCACCAGCCATGGAGTTAAACACATCCACCGCTTCATTTGCAAGATGGAGCTTAAACAAACCACGAAGAACCACATTATAAGTTATGGTACCAGGGTGAAAACCCTTTTCAGGCATAACTCTACGTAGCACATCGAGAGCTTCTCTTGTCCTTCCAACATTCAATAATCCACTTATAATCGTAGTAAAGGTCACACTATCAGGAGTGCAGAATTTAAACTTTCCCATCACCATATCATCTAGTACCTGGATCCCCTCTTCCACTTTGCCCATCTTACAAAAGCCATTAATAACTGTGTTCAGAGTAACTACGTCAGGATGACATTTTGTCTCAAGCATGATGACAAGAATATTCAGAATCTCGGTTGAAGAATCTTTATTCATTCGACATAGAGCTCCTAAATAAATATTGTAAATTCTAGCCTTGTCTACCCCTTCCTTGTTCAACATGATGTCAAGAAGTTTCATCGCTTTGCCAAGATCATTTTCTTCTAAACAAAGACATTCTATCAGAACCTTGTAAGTATTCTCAGAAGGGGAGTAGCCAATTTCAAACCCTTGTTCCAACAACTGATACGCCCTCAAATAGCCACCATTTTTGGCAAGTCCATGCACAATAGAATTGTACGAAACTAAGCTCGGGACACATCTTCGCTTCATCATCATATAAACAATCCTGGAGGCACCATGATGCCTTCCATATCGACAAAGAGAATCTATCATTTGCCCATAAGCAAAAGCATCGCTCACGCTCTTCCCTTGAGGCATCTTTTCAGCAATATCAAAAACTTGTTTAAAGAATCCCTCTTGGCATAAAGTATAAATTAGATTCGAAAAGGCAGCATGATTAACAAAATGACCATCATCTTCTTCAGCCATTGTTTTCCATAGTTTCTCAATCAATGAGCTTTCAAGTTCAACATTCTTTTTACGAAGAATCCCACAAATTAGGATACTATACGTCAGCGAATTAGGCCTTACTCCACATTCAGACATTTCATCAAGCAGCTTATGTGCAAGACTCAATTCCCCAAGCCTACAATACCCATTAATCAAAGTAGTATACGAGACCTCGTTAGGACAATGCCCCAAACTCTTCATATGAAAGAACAATATGTGCGCAATATGAACCCATGAAAATAAACAAAGCTGATCGATCAGACGGTTAAAATTTGTCAAGGACGGCACAAAATGAGGTTTCACACCAATAATTCTATGCACAACACGCAAGGTGGCATGAGGGCTTTTCCCCCAATCCAACAACCGCGCAATGATTACATTACAGGTTCGCTCATCGGGAATAATAACAGTACCACTACTAAAAGAGCATGACAGAGATGACAGAAAACGACGGTGAGCTTCAGCAAAGCGATTGGAATCACAGAGAGCGTGGATTATGCTGCTGAGATTGAGCGAATCGAGGTGGTATCCATGTATGCAAAGGTTGTCAACAAGGCGGATTGCTTCATCCACATTGTGATCAATTGCACAGAGCTTGTGGATTCTTCTGGTCCAGTAAGACCTGTTGGTAATACTTTCTTCAAGTGGGTGTCGTTGTTCTTGCCTTTCTTCATCACACAGGGTACTGTGGGTGAAAAAGAGAGCGAAATTTGAATGATTGTAGAAGTGGGATGTAATTACTTTGATTCGTAATGGGATTTTGGTAAGAAACATAATAGAAAATCCTCCTGGAATTTTGCATCATCAATCTTTGTTTTTAAGTAGCATCGTCTTTAAACCACCGTGACACTTTGAGCAATTGCGTCGGTGAGGCCGCCGGTGCGTGCAAGGGGCAGGGCCGTGGGCGAGAGTCGAGACAGAGAGCAGGGGCGATTGCTATTGTAATCCAAAATCATTACCGTTTTTCTTTTTCATGTTTTCGGGGTGGGCCTTGGACCATAGCAACCAGATTGGAATGGGTTTTTTCAATTGGTTATTGCTTATAAAAATAATTTATTGACTTATTTCGATGTCAAACCGGTAATAAGAAGTTTTTGAAGAAGTTAAACTCTTCTGACTTATAATAAGTTGATAAGTGTTTTTATATAAAAACATAAGTTGTTTCAAATAAACAATCTCAAACACCAGTATTGGTTTTTTTTAAACGCAATCCAATTCATTACCAACCGAAAACGGTACAACAAAGAAGTATACCGTATGAAACAAAAAACCACACTCACCAACAGTTTGTGAGAAGCAAACCAACAACAAGTGACGAGAACAACAAACTACCTCACTGGAACGACTCCTGCACAGGCAATCGACTAGTATTGGTTTTGTATCAACTTCAAGTTTTATATATATAAGAACTTGTAATTTCTTTAATTTTTTAGTTACATTTTAGGTTGCAAGTAATACATAATCATGTTTAAGGGTTTTTATTTGTACGGAATAAAACTTGTAAACATTCAAATAAGCAAACAAAAAATTGGTAATACAAAACTTAAAAATCAATAACTATGCTTTATAATTAATTAAATAAGTCAGTACCATCGTACTACCTGTGGTATGCGACTTCAAATACCGTGTATCAACTAAGTTTGCATATTTGTATGAAGCTCGGACCTATATGAGGATGTTCCGATTTCAGAAACCTTCATAAATACGAGGCTATTTGAATCAGAATCAACATCCACGCGAGCATTTGCGGAACCTGCCATTTATAAAGAATTAGTGATAAAACGGTATGGTTTTACTAATATTAGAGACCAAAAAGAAGGTTGGGGCTGCCTTCGTTATGATGTTGCTAGCAAGTTCAAATATTTTTGGTTTTGACTCTTCCAAATCATGGCTGCACGAGATCCGGACTCCTCTTTTTGATCCTTCAATTAAAAAAAACATTCTCTTTTCATAAAAAATAAGTAGACCCAATAAGGATGTTTTCCGTTCATATTTGGAGTTGAATACCTCATTCAAGAATTGTTTTGGATTCAATAGAAAAGGCATCCCACCCCATAACCCACAGATCATCACCTCTATACTAAACGATGCTACTTTCGGCCTAGAAAAGCCACATTTCACTCGTGAGTTTCAAATGAGTTATATTGTTTTTACTTCAAAATGCAAAACAATCATCTTAGGGGCCGTTACAACAATTTTGAATTCGGAAATAACCCACGCTAACTAAGAAACCTTAACCTATATCACACAAAAATTTTCCGTTTCAGCCCATTAACAACTTGAATTTAGGTTGAAATTTTCGACCTATTTACAACTTGTTTTCAACCCGTTTCCAACCCATTAAATTAAAAGTGGAAGTCGAGTTACTTATAAATGATATTTGAACAATTTATCTGCATTCATGGTTATGGTTGTGTTATATTCGAACTTTAAACAATTTATTGGTATTTTTAGTTGTGATTGTGTTTAGTTCATAAGATTATATAGTCTAATCCTTTTTATTCTATTTAAAATTTTAAAATTAAATAGGTCAACATAGCTTCAACCTATTTATTTAACAAGTTGGGTTGAGAAAATCATAAACATGTCAACCCACTGTCAATCTAATGGTAACAAGTTGGGTTGGGTTAAAAAATCTCAATTCATTTAATTAAATAGGTTGGATTGACATTTTCAACCTGTTTAATAAATGGGTTAAACTCGAACCCAATCCAACCTGACTCATTGCCACCCCTAAACAAATGATCTTTAGGCTCCTCCATGAATGAAATCGATGGATTTCAGTTTGGCCGTTTGTTCTCTTGCTCTATCCACCAATTGTTTCAAGAAATGTAAGATCCGACCTTAAAATTTCTAGGCCCATTTAGACTAAACGGGTTGAGTTGATTTGTTTTCAAGAATTTTTAAATTTAAGAGTTAATTACGGATTTGGTTCATGTGGTTTACATTTTCTACTCGTCCCAAAATAATAATAAAACATAAAAATATGACATTTATGACATTTTCGCATCTATTGAGTCCCTCCCTCTAACAAAATCAAAGAGACTTCGTTAACACAGTTAATTTTGAGGATATTTCGGTCTTTATATTCTCAATTTTGTCTTTTATCCTAATTAAGGAAAAATATATTATATATTAATTAATATTATATATAATTTATTAAATCGACGATAAACCCTCCCAACCAACAACCCAGCCTCCCTGTGATGATTCCATTGCCCCCAACCAGCACTGGTCACTCTCCTCTCTCCTTGTGCCCCACCCTACTCCACTGTGATGATTCCATTGCCCCTAACTCATTTAATTTTATTAGGTTTTGATGTTCATAGAGGGTAGTTACGAGCATTGAGTAACCTTAGATCGAGGCAATCCTGGGAGGAATCTAGTCGCAAATAATGAGGGCTATAAATCCTTAAGGATAGTGATAATCATGTCCTCGATCTGTTCTTATTATTTAGTTTTCTAACATCGTTTTCTGACAATCTTAAGGATTTATAATCATGTACGGGAATGTTTCTAAAAATGTTTTGTAAGATTCAACTTGATTTCTCAACAGATTAACACATCAAAATTGAATTGCGGCTTATCAATTATAAACAGGAAGTGAGCGTACCTTGTGCGA